ATCACATAACTCCTTACATCTGATCACCTAACTCCTTAAAGCGCAACACCCTTGTGTGGGGTGCAGTTGAATGAGAGACCAATATAACTCCTTATAACAACAAAGATGGGCTGAAGGCAAGTATTATGGCAGCAATCACCGACTTAAACAAGGAGACTGCCCAGAAGAAATGCAGGGGATTCCAGTGCTATCTGGAGTCTGTGGCTGATGCCAATGGCAATTATATTGAATATATTTGCTCTTTAGTATTTCAAGATATTTTTGTGTAATTTTGATATATATATCTGTTAAAATGGGATGTCATTGTTATTTTCATTTTTGTGGGATGTAGACAACAATTTATTTATTATACCCTGTATTGGAATTTATGTAATATTTATTTAAATTTGAAATTACTACATATATATATATATGTGTGTGTGTATATATATATATATATATATATATATATATATATATATATATATATATATATATAGATAGATATATTAGTGGTAAATATACACATACATATGCAATGATATATTTAAAATATATATAAATATATATATACATACATACATACACATACATATATATTTATATAAAAAAATAATTCCAAGAGGATCTATCCTCTTGGAATTATTTTTATCCAGGTAGAACTCAATGTCTGGGACAGAGTAAGGATATAATAAAAGGTTTAAACACTAATATATATATATATATATATATATATATATATATATATATTATTTAAAAAATATGATTCCTTTGCTACATAATAGTTCTCATGTTTCAAAAACAAGAGCTGAAAACAATATAATTATTAGAATTAAATTGAATTAAAGCATCAAGCTTTGTTTCATCTTCAAGTGATTTCACAAGGACACATGGCACAGTGGATAAAGATGTTGGTTAGATCCAGTGACAGGACCAAAAGAGTGTGAGTTCAATACCCGGTTAAGGCAGTGATGAACTTGGAGAAGGGAATTAACTGGAGATAACTGATAACTGACATCCATTAAACATGGCATGTGGAACTAGAACTGTCTACTCCAGTGAATGAAATAAAGGGTTTTAGTTCAACATTCCAACCACCTGAAGAAGGCCGGAGCATACAACAGCCAAAATGTTTTAATAAATATGGCAACAAAGATGAGGACAATAGTCCGAATAATGTAAATAGTGTGCATAATACCTCATCTCAGAAATATAGACAGACCGTTGGATAGTATTCCATACCTATGGTACAAAACATCTACAAAAACAAATAAATTATTTTTTTACCAAATATAGTGGGATAACAAAAAAAGTCATGTCTGACAAAAATGGAAAAAACTGTAAAAAAAAAAGGCACATTGTCAGTTACTTCTTCCTTATTTTTGAAACCATTACAACGGGAAGCATTCTGGCAATATAAATACTCCATGATAATTATCTGCAGCTTTTTACTTTTTACCTCAACATGTAAGTTTCTCATGGAAGAATGCATTCCCTTTTTGGGACACACATGAACAATACACACACACACATAGACATGCACCTTTCACTTCATTTTTTCTAGTTCTTTCTCCTACACCAATATGCAAACAATTCATTCATATTCATTGTTCAGTAACACAACAATATTCTATTCTATATGTAAACCCTTTATTATGAATACATTATCATTTCTTTGTACATATATACTGGTCCATGTTGTTTCTTTACATTTTTTTATGTGGACTCATATTCCCAGTCTGCCATGTTAATTGTGGGTATTTGAGGAGACACGTGTTTATCTCTCAATGTGTACAACGACCCACACCAGACACATAATCTTAATATCACTGACTTATTGTAAGTAGTATATCTAATAGATTTATTTTTCAAAAGTTTACAAAAATGTGTATATGTGGTGAATTCTATATTGGTATTGTTTATCTGTCTGTCATTGGCAGTTAATTATTGGAATTTAATTTTGCACTAATATATCATGTCTTTTAGCAAATGACATACTAAATCCGACGTAAAAATACCTTAAAGGTGTTTGTTTAGTGCTAATATTTATTAAGTCTTTGCATTCTGTTTCCTGACCTACATTTCCAACTCTCTCGTTGGTACGTATTTTTTCGTCTCTATTACCTGCAGGTTGGAAGATTTGATTGTAGCCACAGTTTTCTTTGTGTTACTGGAATCAGAGAATGTTTCGACAAGAGAGGCAAAGATTTAGTTTTGCTTTTCTTTAACCAGAACCGTTTTCCTGGAAATGAATTGGCTGTCAGGAAAGTGGAAAAGCATGCTGTGCACATTTCCGCAGATTATTTTGACGTCTATCTGGAATCGTTTCTAATTTAACCACAGTTTGTTTCTGAAGGCTTCGATGTAAGTAAGTATGACTCGTTATCTATCATTCTGCTTATGTTGAGTTCAACATATATGTATGTATGTGTTTATTTGCTGATGTGTTAATATATATGCATGTATTAGCTTGATGCAAAAGTTCCCAGTCAATGCTAAAGAAATCTTAGAGGTGTTTTGGGATGGTGCACCATACGTTATTGATGGCACGTGCTTTGTTTGTATTAAACTGAGCCATAAATAATTTCCTTTGTTTTAGTTCTTCAGAAAATAAAGTACAATTATATTTTATTTAATTATATATTCACCTTTATTTGCAAAGAATTTTTGCCACTTATCAGCCAACTTATCAATAACTTTTAAATAGAATGCCACAGATTTTTAAGTGAAAATGTTTTCGACGAACTCTTGAATCTGGTTTTTAATACAGAAAGTTTTCTGTCTATGATGAGGTATTATGATTACTTGCATTATTTACATTATTCGAACTGTTATCCTCATCTTCATTGTCATATTCACAATGTTTCGGCCTCTATATCTCTGAGATGAGGTATTATGATTACTTATATTATTTACATTATTCGAACTGTTATCCTCATCTTCATTGTCATATTCACAATGTTTTGGCCACTAATTTTTTGAGATGAAGTATTATTTACATTATTCAAACTGTTTTCCTCATCTTCGTTGCCATATTAACAACATTTCAGCTATTGTATGCTCTAGCCTTCATTAGGTGATTGGAATTTTGTCAACCAGGGTAGATTGTTCTAGTTCATGCCTTCCAAATGTTTCAGTTACTTTCCTTTAACTCAACTCTCCAAATTTTGGTTCACCACTGCTGTGGCCTGGTATTGAACTCACAAATCACTGGATCTAAACAACGCCTTTATCCAGTGAGCCATGATTCCTACACAGATGTCCATGAACTAGAACAATCTACTCCCGTTGATGAGATTCAAATCAACTGAAGAAGGCTGGAGCATACAATGGTTGAAATGTTGTGAATATGGCAATGAAGGTGAGGATAACAGTCCAAGTAATGTAAATAATGCAAAGGTTTCTGAATGAACTGGGATCAAATATGGATTGGAATCTGAGAGAATGATAGGATAAAAAACAAAAGAAACAAATAGGTAACATTTATAAATCTAACATGTTACGCTTTTATTAAAGCTTCATCAGAGAATGAAATATGAAGGAGAAAAAAGAAGTAGTTGTGTTGCTTGTTTTTTATTGGCTAAGCATATTTCACTTACTTTTCTTGTTAAGCAGTGCTCAAAGGTATAATTCATATATATGCGTATTATAATTCTAGTTTGTCTACATCTATAGAAAGTTTTCTCTTCAAACCATTTTGCAGGTAATAATTGGTTGCTGTAATGTCAGGTGTGATTATGGCAGGTGGTCGAGGTAGAACAGACTGACCAATTCATAAAAAACATAAAGACACTGCTAATAAATGCATATAAATATATCTATTCTATTGCCTTGCATTGTTTAAAGAGATGGAATAACACATGATTCTTTCACAAAAATATGATAACATGTAAATTGTTTTGACAGTTTGTAGAAGACATATTTAGTTAGTTTCTTAAAATATTACTTATAAATATGAACTCCGACCTTTGGTCATTCTGCTGTAAAAACACTAAGAAATATAAATAACTACCATATCTAGTCTATAAAACTTTGTGGGTAAACTCTGGAAAACATTATCTAATAAGAAGAAAAACTATCCTGCGATTTGTCTCACTGGCTTTCTATGTAGAAGTCCATTTTTATTGGATGTCATATGCCAATCCTACATTTTGTATTTAATCAAAATCATTTTTTGACTTACTCAGAAAATAGATGACCTTCATCTCTGCTAGTCGCATTTCAAATCCCGAGATGTTTGATCATTTATGACAGACACTATTTCTTACGATGGTAACACAGAAATGATGTGACCTTAAGGTTGGCTACAAACGAGTTTTCTGATTCAATTTCTTTCTCTTTTTATTTAACATTACTTTCATGGCATCAGTGGTTCGGATTTTAAAGGCAATTCCTGCAGTAGATTTTAACTATTATAAAGCAAAGTATATTTTGAGAAGCAAAAAGTTAGTATCAGATTTTCAGTTTGACATGGAATGCAGACATTTCTGATAAGAAAATCAAGTCTTGAATTTAAATAGTAATATTCTGTTTGATTTATGTCTCAAGGAAAAGTTCAGTCCTGAAGTTGATCGAATATTTACAAGATTCATTTTTTTCATCAATAAAATCACAATACAAATTTGAACAAATCAAGCACCAGTTTACATTTTTGAAATAGAAAGAAGCTAACAACTGGTTATCCATTTTCGTCACATTTAATACAAATCATATCTGATTGCTTGTCGATGCAGTGAACATTTCTATGAACCACAAAGCTCAAAGAATATGCAGAGAAACATCATAATTCTTCTAATAATTGTGTCAGATTATGAACATATTAATACACATTTAGAAATGCCTGCATATATATATATCTAGGGTTGACCCAACTGTGCCAAAAGATTTTATTACTCTTTTGTTTCAAGTTAATTAAAAAAAGATGACTTTGATTATATTTTAATAAATGTCCTACAAGCCTTTATTTGGTTTGGTTTGTTTGATGGTATAACATCCTCCATGGTTTAATTAATGCTGACAAGATTTTTATTGCTGGTAATAATTTTTATCTATCTATCTATCTATCTATCTATCTATCTATCTATCTATCTCAGTATATATTGGTTTGATTTGTTTTCCTTTATGCCATATCAACCTCAATGTTTTATTTAATGTTGACAAGATTTTTATTGCAGATAAAATTTTTTCCAAAAATTGTATTGTTGGTAATTTTTTTTTTTTCAAAATATATTGCTGGTAATAATGTATTGCTGGTAATTATTATTTACAAAAATGTATTGCTGGTAATATTTTTTCTTTCAAATATGTATTGCTGGTAATAATTTTTCCTCAAAAATTTATTGCTGGTATTAAAAGCTATTTTTACACTTTCATAGTGTTTTCACCCAAGTTTGTGGGTTAACTATTTTCCCATAGTTCGGACCCTAACAGATGCTACCACCCTGGGTTAGGGTGGACGTGGAAACACCAGCAATTAAAAGGTGGTTCCACGCTTCTCAAAACAGAGGCCTTGCTATTGGATGTATTTTATCATGTTACCCAGGACACGGATGTAGTTTATCATCATACTCAGAATGGTACAAGACATCATTTTACAAAATATAATCATTTTTATGGTTGACAAAGAAGACAATAATTTAACAAACATTAGTGCAAACCACTCTCCTGTGACTGTTTCACATGCTAATGCAGTATTAAACACACACACTCACGGACATGTATGTGTATATATATATATATATATATATATATATATATATATATATATATATATATATATATAATAAAATAAAAGAAAGAACAGTAAGATATATAATCCGGTGTTCTTATTGATATTTTTTACTTTTATTTTATTTTTACAAAACAGTGCTCAATGTAAATTTACAGAGTATAAATATTATAAATTAATTGGTTTAAAATATGTTTTTTTTCACTACTCAGTAATAACCATGTTTCAAAAATGGAAACTAAAAACTATATGTGTGTTTGTGTGTGTGTGTGTGTGTGTGTGTGTGTGTGTGTGTGTGTGTGTGTGTGTGTGTGTGTGTGTGTGTGTGTGCATGTTTATTTGAAGGTCAAGTGCAGTTATTTTGGGTTTCGTATTTTTTATTTATTTTTTCTACCTTTTTTTTTTCTGGCCACTTTTCTGATTTTTTGGGAGAATTTGACCCAAAGTTTTCCAAATATCTTCTGAAGGCTTTCAGCTTTCATTAGCCATTAACAGAGATTTTTGTGGGTTGATAATGTATCTATAGATATGCATCATAGGTTGTCATGTTTGGGTTCTTCAAATGTTGCTTGTTTTAATCTGTCAGTTTGGGATGTTATGCTTTTTTTACATTCCCGTATATATTTAGGATTTTTGCTCTTAAATATGAATTACAATTGATTTCTGATTTTATGATTTAGGCTTCTAGTATTTGTAGTCATTTTCACAGTTTTTCTGGTAAAGTGTTTTATATTAGAAATAAATATTTTCTGAATTCCTTGCACGTTTTTTGTGTGGAGATATGCGATTTAATTAAAGTATTATTGGATAGATAACAAGTTAATCAGTGCCGCCATGCAGTAATTATGCCACCAGTAGATGTGTACTGTCTTAATTATTATTATCGTATAAATATTCTCAAAATGTGTAGGCAATTTTCTGTTCAAATTCTCACTTACAATTCCAGCTCATACATTAATCGTAAAATGATCCTTGTATTTAACCTGTATTGTACCATGGAGATTTTGATCCGCCCACAAATGTTGGTTGTGTAAATTTGTTATTCCATCTTTTTCCAAATGTTGCATCATCTGTAAACAGTACCGAAGAGATAAACAATGGATTGGAAGTTTGTGTAATAAACCATTGGCAAAAGTTCTCCTGTGGTAAGTGATCAGAGAGTGAAACACCCTGCATAGATTGCAAATGATATGGATACACGAGCTACTTTTGAAGTACCCTCCATGTGGTACTGTGAGATGTACAACATGCTAGGGCCACTTGACACGTGCTGATACCTGGATCATCTCCATCAGCCTGTAGAATGTATCCTTCATGCTCAGGCATATAAGTGGATCACTCTTCTTCGATCCATAGTTTGTAATGCCACAGATCCTGTCTCAGCAATGCAATGATAAACAGCAGCAAATGTTGGATGACTCAGCTGACTTTGGTCTAGAAATGCAATCTGGTACAGCCATGCAGCCTTGCATCCATTACCCTTCATGTGGCTCTATTGTCCTCATCTTTGTTGTTGTTGTTGTTGTTGTTACAATGTTTCAGTTTGTCATCAGGTGCTTGTTAATCCAGATAACCTTCAGGAAAAATTTAGATCGGAACCCTTTATTTAATGTTCTCAACTACTTCCGTAATATTAAATTATTGTTCACGCAATTTCCATTGAGTCCAAATAGACCCTGCCTGCTCCATCAGCAATCTCAAAAACCAACATTTGAATCCACTCGGCCATTTCCCATTTCCACTTTGACAAAATGAATCCTGCTCTGGTAGAGAACTTTTCCACAACCTCATATGTATCCACCTCCACCTCATACATACAAACATTATGTCATTGTTTGTTAATCATAATTCTAATAGAATGATTGTGGGTTTCAGGTCAATTAAATCAAAACAGCTTTAATTTTATTTGGCATCTTCAAAGTTGTATTGATTAATCCTTCACTAATGAACTTCTACAATGTAAAAAAAAAATCCTTGATTCAACATTCAGTATTAATATCAATAAACTTTCTTCACCCACTTTAAAATAATGTCTTCTGATTATGTAAATATTTACTAATATAACCAAAAACTTTCTGAAAGACAGCTATGAACACTGGAGTAGCTATTTTCCCACAACAGTTTGTCATCACACCAAATTTACCTTGAGAGAAATTAGGTCTGTCCTGATAGTATCTAGCTTTTAATATTAATAGAATGCCTCCAATAAAAGATGTGTTTTTCCATTAAATTATTCCCTTGACACTACATGTACTTTAATCTTTATTATCTCCATCTATGAAAAACAGTCTGCAAATCCTCTTAAGAGATTACCATGAGCTGCCTTGTCACATTCTTCTTAATCTACCCTATGCTTTAAAATTTAACAGTGATTTTACCTTTAAGAAAAGTCAAAAGAGACAAGGAGCCAAATCTGTCAGGCCAGATTTTAAGGTGGTGCATTTGGCCAAAGATCCATCGCCCAGGTTTGAATGGATATTTGGCACAAACGCAACCCTGCTCACAAGATGTGACTTGCACATACACCCTCGTGCAAATTAATTGAAACAACCGCTTTAGTTTCCTTCCTTCATCATATGGTCAGTTTTAGGCCCACTGGAGTGACAGGGTGTAATCGATTTCTATTTTTTCCTCAGATTAGGTCATTTGCAGTGGTGTGCAGTAATATGAATCTATTTTTGGGGTGTATGATGAAATTTGTTTGGCATTGAAAAATACTGTGTCATCCATGATTGCATCAGATTTTCATCACACCTAGACACTATTGTCTCGACTGTCAATTAGTTGTCCTACAGCCATTGTCCATGATAGACATTACTCCATGGAAGTGTATGTAAATTGTAATGTTGCACAAACACATTGGCAAGCCTTACTAGTAAGCAAATCAAAGTACTATAGACTGGCTTGGAAACTTCTGATTTAAATCCAATCAAGAACCTGCGGTGAATCTGCAAGAAACAACTTCATGGAATAGACATAATAAGTACTAACATGTGCACTGGGTCATGTTACATTGGAAAAATATGAAAATAGTGTAAATGATAATGGAATTATGTTTTGTTTCAATTAATTTGCACAAGGATGTAAATTACTTTTGATAGCTTGTTCCTATGTACATTTTGGAATAAATAATTATATATACATGTCTACCCTAATTATATCTTGTGGATAAATGTCCTCAAAAAGTATTTTTGATCCTCACTAGGTGCCCACTTTGTTTACTTGTGAGGAAATATGCTAAGCTTAGTTAATTGTGAATACCAATCCTAGCATGATAGTTAGGAAATATATTTAGTAAGTAGACTGGGTTACTAATGCAGTGAATTTAACTCAAGTACATCACTGTTGTAGCCTTGCACCAGATAACATTAATTTAGTAAATAATTATACACCTGTCTTATAATGTAATAGTTAGAAAGCATGTTTGTTTTTTAAATTGGTTTGTGAGTGAATTGAATTTGATGGGTAAAAGGTAACTTACGGCATTAAGTATACAAGAGGTTCAAAAAATGTGTGTGCTGATTTGAATATAACCAGTTTTGTGAATAAGATGAAGTTTTGACTTTTGGCCTAAGATATTGTTGTGGTAGGATCCACCTAATTTGCATAGTGGAGTACCGACCATATAAATATGATTGGTACCGGGAAGAGAGGGAGGAATCAAGAGATTCAACCAGAGACTCTGTCCGACTGTGACTCGGTCAACACATTCTCCAGGAACGGTCTTACCAGGAATATACAAAAGACTATATGTAAATATTGTGTGCACTTTCTTGTTTCAATAAATTTTGTTCTAAGTACATTTTGTGTTGCATTATTATTCCATGCATTAGTCAAGTTCCAACAGATATAAATAATGATCTTGAAAAATGCATGAAACCATCTTTTCCCTGCCAGCAGAATAGACTGGTCTCTTTTGCCATGAGAAAGAAATCTCAGAATTCCAAACAGTAGAGGAAGCAACAGGAAATCACTCTGGTATAATGTGAATAAGATCAACCACTGTTATTCTAGTAACCATGCTCAGTAGGCAATGATTTTATCTATGCTTGACTTCTGTCAAATTCACTTCACCAACAATATTTATTAAGTTGCTATTAAGTTTGCTCCTATATTCTCACCCATAAGAAAATGCTTTTATTTAGCATGAGTAAAATAATGATGACTTGATTTTATGTAGCATCATATTTGTAGGATTCATATTTACTGATTCTCATTTAGTCTGGCACATGGCTACCAGGATTGAGCATCTAGAGAAAATAAAACTGACTGCCATTGTAATGGGCTATCAAACTAGCATGTTAACTATAGATTTATGATGATTCAGTTTAACTTTAGTCTGACTAAAAATGTAAGAAAACTTTTGAATTTATTCTCTTA